ATCGAACTAAAATAATGTCATATAATTATATTAAACACGTCAGAATATAGCAATATTAAACCAAAATTAGTGTGAAAACAAGGGGTGAAAATTTCCTGTTTTCCTGAATGTATGTACCAGGGACTTAAGCGAAATTATAAATTTTGTAGATGCAGTCAGAAAGTGTACCAAAAATTATTCAAATTTCATAAAATATCTTATCATTGCAACAGCGAAAATTGTATTCAGATTCTTGGTTGATCAACTCACATAACAGGAAATTATTATAAAGCTCTTCCGACAAAACATCTCTCCATAATAATAACCTAAACCTATATATACGTCTTAATAATTCTTCAAAATATTTCAACTTATGCAAACAAATTTTATACGTATACTTCTTAATATAACTGAAACTCATTTTACTTTTTTTAAACGTCATGCACGGCTAACCAAACTCCAAAATGTAGGTTTTCATCGACAATATAAATACCGAGTCTACATAGAGAAAACAAGAATGTGCCTAATATTTAAGCTTTTGGGTGAAAAAGAATTGTAATCCATTACAACAAGTTTGGGAGACCCTTGACTGTCCCGGGGGAAGAGGAAATATATTATCAACGAATGACGCATAACTAAAAGCGTCAGAATTAAATTTATATACTGACCCAAATAAAAACATGCATGCGCTATCCTACGGCAACATGTTTAATCAGCATGCTGAGTGTACCTAAGGAATTTTAGTTGAACAGCTATACTCTCGTGTTTAATATTATCGCACATAAACAAACAAATGATAAACATATACGTGTAACATGAGAATGACAAAAACTTATATTATACAAATCTTAAAATGCGTCCAGTTTCATGTCCATAATACAAGCGTTCTGACCATCAGGAAGGATCCGGAAAACTCTGAGACTTTCGTACGTCTCAATAATCGTATTTCAACGACCACGGAGGCTTCCACTGATGCGTCTTTAGCTGGATTTCTGGCATAGCCAACACGTTCAGATAGAGGGAGTACATGTCATCAAACTCGTCTTGGATTGCAGACTGAGGGCAAAACGACTGTAGTTTCAATTCAAGTTCATGGAAAGTGTAGAGGTTGTGGACAGTTGTCTTGAACATACAACCAAAAAATGAAACAAAGTTTAGCATTGCCATAAGGAGAAGTATGGATGAATACAGAACGTGCGTTTCCTTCGAACCAGTCATCAGGTCGTTTCAGCAAGGCCAGTATTCACCCGTTGTTACTATAGTACATAGGCGAGGTTTTTTTAGAGCCGTTCCTCCACCAAGTTGTTATAAGTTTCTTTAATTGATACGCGAGGTAGTGGATCGTTACAATGGTTTTAACTAAAGTTCGCTAATCTTCTCTTCTTTTTCTATCTTCGATCTTGATCGTCGTTAAATGTTCTTGTCTTCTTCGTCAGTTCTGTTGTTGAGCTTCCTAACGTTTCATAACTTAATCTTTACTCCGCTAGTCCACTTCGTTTCGGGGTTCAGTCCGAAGTTCTTGTGTCCACTCTGCTAGTCCACTGAAGGTTCAGGTGCTGTGCACGCCCTTTTATAATGAGGGTTCAGTGACTCTTGCATACGTCATCAACCATAGTGGGCTGATCCTTATCCAGCCAATCAGCGTTGTACATGTAACCAGTGGGTTGGTCTTAGAAGCTCGTTCCAGCTCTCATATCTTGTTTATTTAAGGCGTTGTCGCACTAGTCGAGTTGGTCTTCTGCTCAATCGATCAATACTTAAAAATGTTCACAACTTAAAATGTTTATCATCAACAACTAGTAAAATATACCAACAATACGTCTGTGAACAATATCTTTTAACTTAAACTATTTTTACTCTTATTTTATCGAACTGAACTTGTGATGACGTAATCTATTACATGCTTGACCGAGCAACATTTTTAACACAATTGATTGACATAAGAACTTTAATGGCCTACAGCACGCACACTTTTTTAAAGAATGCGACCATTAAGATAAGTGACGACTTATGAATGTTTATCCAGGTATTAATTCTGAGAGGATTATAATTATTTTCACCTTATTACTTATTTAATCCCACGATATGTCATACATGAAAGGGAAAAGCGATTAATGTTTGCTAATGGCCGAAAATTATATTTACTCAGGCGTCTTGTGGCAAAAATCATTCACTAATCCCTGTCATGCTCTTGCTACTTCTATTTTTATGGCTATTTTTATATGCGTATCTCAATCACTATGAAGCCTTGCGTAACACAATGAAATCATACCTTCGTAAACAGAAGTTTTATCTTCAATGCAATGCATGGAATAGGTTATAGGCATGCATTTTGTATGAAATACATAAGTTTAAATTGCTCAATTAGGATAATAACGTAGATACATATGTCAACACCATGTAATAATGTAAGATGTTTCTGCAATGAGTCGTTGCTGTTGCCCTCAAATATTCAGCGTGTAACGTGTGCGCCTTCAACTGATGTGTACTTTTCGATAGATGGGAAAATACTGTTCTAAAATAACGTTTGAAACGATCGTATATATGCGTGTGGAAGTTGCGCCAAGTTTAATTTATAATCCTAACCTCATTGGGCCATTGTTTTTCATATATGGCAATGGTACTTTTGATTTGTATGCATATATCTACGCTAATTCTTGTTGTAGCAACTGACTGTGGCAAATTGTAACATTAATAGCGTCGGTGAGAGGATCATATACTAGTTAAATCTTTTGTATTTATATCATAATGAAATTTTTAGTTTGAGCAAGGAAGCAAATAATCCCGAGCCTGTTGGGACTGTGCAACTGGTGCAATCACAATGATGCACGCCATTTGTAAGGCCGTATAATTCTGTAAAACATAGACGTATACACAGGAATTGCAATAAAACATTTTAGTTTATGCCACATCTATGTGGGTCAACCACTTCTTACACAGTGCCCTACAATAATAATCAACTTCCTCTGTAAATCTTCATTTGCCGCGTCCTCCCCAAACACCCATGCGCGCTCGCACATCTTTGCCACGGATCTCTATATTACGCTTCATGCAGCCTTTATGTTTTCCAATAAAGCGCCTGGGTACAAGGCTGGGACACAAGACTGTAACGTAGATAAATACGGTCACAGACACATTTTAAATACTAGATATTTCGCGTCAAAACACACTTTTGCGACGACAAAAAAGAATAAAATAAAAAACAAAACAAAACCGAGGCTAATTTTCAACTCCGTCGCTGACGCCGGAATAATAAAATGAAGGAACTTATTTTTTCGTTTTGACCTAGATGTTAAATAAGAAAAACTTACAAAGATCGTTGTCGGCATTGACTTTCTCAGGGCTTATGGCACACGCAGCAGTAGTACGCGAAAAACCTGGGAACAAGGATGTGGGTTGGAGAAGGTTCGAACGAACCCTCCCCTCGGCTGCGACACAACGGTTGCTGCGTCACGTTCTGCTTTGAGCTGGAAATTTTTCACTCCCCATACTTAGCTATAATCGGCTCAAAGTATTGTGTGGCAGGACGACCAGTGAAAATATATTAATGATTAAACTTGATGTTATAAAACTGATGTTTTTAGTTTTTTTTTATCATTTTTCTTCGTCCCAAGTGTGTTTGGCGCGAAATATATTAGTATTTGAAAAGTGTATCGGTGACCGTATTCATCTACGTCACAGTATTGTCTCGTAAGAGTTGTGGTGCACAGCTTTTGTTCATTTTCCGATGCGCGATTCGATTTCGTTCGCATGATATGGCAATTCCTCCAAGAGGAACAAATAAACCGTTCTTTTGATGCTGTTTGATAAATTGGGGTAATAATATATTTAATACATGTAGATTCTGGGCCTTTTTTATTAATATCGCTGCTATTTCGCCGTTTAACAAGATGATGTGGTCGTTTACCGGCGCGTTGACACGTCGCAGTTGCACAGGATTGATATAACAATATATAAGCGCGAATTCCAAAGGCAAAGTGTAAGACAAAATGAACGTATCATGCAGTTTATCTACATTTTAGAACAATTGAACTTCTATACTTTTTGAAGTACAATGTGCTTCTGAATTTGGCGATCGAACAACATTTAGGTTCGAAAAGCATCTGAATGAGTATGAACTGCATTGTTTATGTTTGAAAGCTTTATATTGAAGACTGGCACGTGCACGGCACGCCGGAGTTAACGCCAGAACAGGCGTCTTGTTTAAACAAATTTTCACCCACTAGCTATTTTCATAAACAAATATTATTTTATTCATTTTTTAAAAGGAACCACCATTTACAAGAAGATGCTGAATTTTTTTTCATCTTCATCTTTTCCTTTTCCTCAGGAATACAAAGGTAAGGACATCGTTTCTTTGTTTTCCAAAATCCCTGTTAATCCTGCCATCAAAGTCGCTTTAGCTTTAGCCTCTAGTTCTGTTAATCCTTCCTTTTTGAAACGATATATTGAGAACGTGGCCACTGCGGTTAACAAAAATGCGATCGACACTCTGTTGCAACATTTGAATTCTATTGAGCCATCAATACAATTCATGGTAGAGCGCGAGAGTGAGGAGTAATTGGCTTTTTTGGATACTTATGTTTATAGAAATATCGAAGGGCAATTAGAAACTGATGTTCATCTATCTACATGTATCTATCAACAAAATATCTATCCTACTTACACCACCCAAAAAGTCATAAAAAGTCTGTCGCAAAAACTTTGTTTCAAAGAGCTGAATCATTAACATCTAATTGCGTTGACAGGGACAACGAGCATGATTATGTCCTCAATGTATTTCGAGGGAACAAATATCCCCGAAACTTTTTAAATGATTGTTTAAAAACTCCTGTCACGACTATATGTAATTCCTTAAAAGGGTGATTCCTCACAAATGCGCTTTGCATGTTTAAAAGAACATCAAAAGGCCGTTTCGAGCTTAGATAGTTCAAAATTGGCGGAACATGTGTGTCAAATAAACCATAACATTGCCTTGCGTGCAGCGATTCTAAAGTTATTACCATGCACTAACTATCGTTATGGACAAAAGCCTGGCTTGGAAGCCCGGCATATTAATGCGAGCCTATGTGCCAAAAGAATATTTACATCTGATTGATAGACGTCATGTTGAGAGTATATATAAGGATAAAAGTTTAACATTAGATCATCCCTGATGAAGACACTAGAGTGACTTGACCGCAGTGTCGAAACGTTGGGTCGTGAATGTAATCTTTGTGTGGCGATTACTCTCATTAATTAAACCATAGTAGCGATAATTGCGATGGATTGTATAATTATATGGTTGCCGTGAGCTTATAAACTTCAGTTTGTTACAAACCTCTTACTGCGCTGGTCATCGATACACATCGTACATTTTTTAATGTTTTTTACCCCTGATCAAGATTTGTATTTAAATTGCATTTTTAGCATCAATGCTTTTGAAATTACTCTTCATGAAACGGAGGAGATCTGCTTTACGAAAAAAAATACTACTGTTGAGAATTGTGCTCGGGAACCAAAAATCTCGGAAATAAAAGCATTGTTGTCTGAAATGAAAGCTGAGATCTTGCTCTAACTGCAGAAAACACTGGGCAAATCAGTCTCATGTACCAATGATTCGAAGACTTCTGAAGGTAACCTAATGAGCACAACGTTTTTTGTAGTTTACAATCATACGAAAGGAGATAGGTATTTTCTTCAGCTCGGGTACTTCTTCAACTTGTTATTGTTGCAGGAAAGAATTGCGCTGATTTGTATAACAAAGGTATAAGACAAAATGGAGTTTACAGGATTGATCCAGACGCCAAAGGCAGCTTCAATGTTTCCTGTGATATGACGACATTTCGTGGAGAATGGACAGTGTTTCAACGTCGTCGTGATGGCAGTGTTGATTTCTACCGAGGATGGCAAGATTATAAGCATGGCTTTGGTGATTTGAACGGAGAATTCTGGCTTGGACTAGACAAAATCTACAGACTTACAATTGCTTCTAAGAACGAGCTGCGTATCGACATGGAAGATACTTCCACGAACAAGAAATACGCAGAATATGATTTCTTTGCTGTTGCTAATGAGAGCCAGAAATATCAACTTAGTCTTGGCACTTACACTGGTAAGCAATTAATTACACTGGTAAGCAATTAATTTTTACAATATCTTATTTGGTCTTGTCTGTTACACAAAATTTATTCAGAATTATCCATATGCGATGTCGCTATTTTTTTTCCGTAGACAGTCGGGCACATCTTTGATGGTCGGGTACATCTTCGATTTTCGTTACAACGTTATAAAATTCCATCGATCCATACCAATCCGCTGGCCTAGCATCCTGCCTAGTACCATTTGGTTTCCATTTTTTTTTACTTTTTAAATATATTTTGCAAACTTCTAAATCGAACCAGAGACAATACCTTTTGGTTAGTAATATGTCTGCTGTTTGTGACCTTTATTTACAAAAAATCGTATCCACGCTAGCCTCATCAACATATTAGGCCGATTTCTATGAGGGACGTCGATTAGAAATCTATACTAACGTATATATAAAATATTCACAAAGAACATGACAAATTGGAAACCGGGAAATCATGTAATAAATATTTTGTTGACAATCCACAGGTACTGCAGGAAATTCCTTCTCGCACCACAATGGTATGGCGTTCTCCACAAAAGATTCCGACAGTGATAAGTTTAATACAAATTGCGCTGTGCAATTCAAGGGTGCCTGGTGGTATAATAAGTGTCATTTATCAAATCTCAATGGTCTGTATCGTCATGGTGCGCACAAATCATATGCTGATGGTATCATTTGGCATTCATGGGAAGATTATTTCTATTCCCTGAAAAGTACATCGATGAAAATCCGCCCGCAGTCATTTCATAGTACAAGAAATGCAAGGAAATAGCAATAGATGCATGTTTTCTCTCTACCCTTAAGAGTTAAAGCATTACTGTAGTTACAAAATTGTTTACAGACTCTCTTTATTATATTCGCGACTCAGTTGGTATATTCTTTCTTAATTTGACGTGATTAGGTCCAGATATTTCGGAAGTCGCTGCCATCACGTGTAACGGTTAAAAAATAGGACTACTATGGTTTATGCTGTAGTGGCAGTGTGTATGACAATAAATGATAATACATATATAATAATAAATGTATGCGTACTTAAGATAGTGGAATCCAAAAATTGATTCGCAAACTGGTCAAACAAAACAACAAAAATAAAATCTTTAACACTCTTAAGCTATATCTTTTAATCATATTTACTTTTAGGGTGTTATACGTGCATTAAGATTAAAGCTATTTAAATCCATCTTAATCTTCATTGTCTTTTCCCCGCTTGTAGACGTAATCTACAATCTGGTAAGTCTACCATTATTAAGTGCTTTCTCATTATATTTCAATTTCAAAACGTAAACTTTCGCACCAATTAAAAGGTAGTCAGGAGTTAGTCAGGATATAAAATATCTTTTAAGTGTATAATACACACTTGATGTATGCTCCCTAGAGAAATAGCGAAATAGGATAAGATATTAGGGAGTTTACAATCAACCACGCGGTTAGCTCGACGTCGCTAGTCAAATATTGGCTTGAAATTAGCTACGGGGAATCAATTATGCTGCCAGGACTTTGAAATATTCTTACAAACGTTGCAATGTCATACTGCATGTAGAGTCACTCAAGTCCGTACGTACTTGTTTATGATTATGATAAGCTTCAATTCGCCAATTTTTGCTACCCGTGCTTTCTTTATAACGAAACATTTACTTTCTAATAAAAATTGTTTAATAAAGTTCTCAACATTAAATGGGCCGTTAACATTTTGTGCTAGGCCTCACGCTCGTGTTTCATGTTGGTGACGTCACGGAAATATAAAACACGCACAATAAGACCTAGGGACTAGGCTGCTATAGGTGTATGACATCAAATTTATCACATTGGGATAAACCCACACACTGGCCCGAATGGTGTTCTTGTTTGCTTGAAAAGAAGAAATTAGCGATTATGACGAGTAAAATAACCGAAATCTCGACGAATGACGTAGTGAAAACACAAAAAAGTCGAAGTGATGTTAAAATACGTTTGTCGGTAATTTTTTTTACGCCTTCATCGAGTACTTATTTATAGAAGTATTTTCCCGAACCTTTGTACCGTATGTGTGTTTGGCTGTTCTATAAGCTCACAATATTTTATCGGTATAATATATCATTTCAGGGGATTCGGCAAAATATTTCCCTCATGATTCCCGTAATGATTTTTAATTATTAATAATATTTTGCCGAATCCACCTTACTCCAGGTCTGATAATTGTACTCAAAATCCTAACTCGAACGCAGCACTCTTCGTTCCCAAATAGCTATTCAAACAACGCAATGAAGGGGTATTTCTTCAGTTCCGATTTATTCTTATAAGTTCTATGATCCCTCGTGTATTCATTAATAATTTCGTTGGATAATTAGGAATTAATATACATGATGCTTGTTGAGATTGTCTAGAATTCTAGCTTATTAAAGGTAATGGCGGCAATCCTCTTTTAGTGGCTTAAAACGCGTTCAAAGTCATCATGTTATGATGTTTTAGCTAAAGCAATCATTTTTTGTTTATGGGCCCTTTTTTGCCACTAAATGCTCGGTCAAGTCATTTAACACCCGACACAATGAACGCTTAAGATTTTGTCACAACACAATTTTTTTTAGTACAAACTGTCGTTTTAATATTTGCATCCATGCCACTCAACATATTCAACAAGACGCCGGCTCGGCGTTTACCTTGGGTCGGTGCATAAATATAGGGTTTGTTTGGAAACTTTAGTGTGGTATAAACCATGGTTTAAAAGACTATTAAACTATTTGCAATGCTAAAGCCCGCCGCACACGTGAGCTATTAGCTGAGCTGAAGACCACGCGTGGCTGTCAGCTCAGCAAGTTACTCTCGTGTGCGGATAGTTTTTCGTGAGGAATTCGCCTGAAGAGGCAAGTTTCTCACGTGTGCGGATGGTTTTCGGGCTGAGCTAACTGCCTCGCGAGGTTGTTAGCTCAGCTGATAGCTCTCGTGTGCGGCGGGCTTAAAGCTCCGTGACTGCATGATTCATTCTGCCACATGAAAATTGACCATTCCAATGTAATTGTTTACGAATCAGGGTCCCTGACCATCAAATGCCTTTGGCTTTTCTTCTACAACCGACAAAATGAATTGAAGCAATTGTGCTTGCGAAGCTATAATCCAATGGTGAATAGCTAAGTATTTGAATGTAGGGTATTAAAATATCGAAACCTGTCTAAATAGACAGGATTAGTGAAAGGTTTCTATTACACAAAACCCACTCGCATATATTAGCTCCTCATGTGTTGGCCAAAACAAGGAGTAAACGAGGGCGAACCCCAAGAAAAATGATCAAATGGAAAACATTGGTCCTTCGACGGCGAACAAGAAATCAAAATTTGCTATGCTGTGGATTGTAGCCTTACCCTGTAATGAAGCTTATATATTCAGAACGCTTTGCCTAATTAAAAGAATCCCGAGCCACACCACAAATTAAACCACTGACTAATGATGATTTGAGATATTTTTACAAAATTAACACTCACAACTAATTATGCTTGTGAAATTTTATGATGAAGTGACTTGCAAATTTAACGTTTCATACGGATTAAATATTATTATTTAAGTATGAAGAGTAAACAGTTGGTTTATCTAACACGCAAAGTCGAATCTATCAACGAATCTAAATTATTAAATATCATAATTTCCACACAATTCTGTCATTTTCATGTGTTAATTTACACTCAAAATAAAATTCGATGGTAAATCAATTTTCAGTTTAATTTCTTGGAGATCCATTAAGGCAAATTCAATTTCATCTGTCTTCGCATGAATAGACAAGCCAGCTTTGTTAAGCAAAACGGTAAAACGGTGTTTTGATTATGACGTAACCTTCGGAAAACTCCGTAAATGTCGTGCGATTCGAAGATTGAAGAGTAAGAAGTTGCAGTAATTTATGCGCCGTGGCCGCGAGGGAGACTGCTGTCTAGAACCCCACCAAAAAAAAAATAATAAAAAAAAAACAAAGCCGAATTTATGACCTTGTGTCTACCGACCCAAGGTAATTAATGCATATTTAAATTTTTTTATTATTCAATAATGAATTGGCTGTTATGAAAACAAGGTGTATAAAATTCAATTTAATGGCAGCTAAATGTCAACAAATATAATTAAAAAAAATAATTAAGATGTTTGCTTCGTTTTTTAAATACAGCTGACCCAATCATCATCATTGCATGACATGCCCTTTCACACGCTTTTCCAATTATACGACTAACAACTCAACTTTCCACCACTAAGCCAGAAATAGAGTGATTCCAACGATGATTAAATTTTTTGCGGCAACTTGTGCTTTACTGTTCCTTGTAACTTCAAATGTTAACGCAAGCAGTTGTTCCCCAACGAATTACGACATCATTAAAAAAGGTGAGTTACCGTCTTCATCTTAGCGGAATTATGGAGAACGTTGTCCAAAATCGTATCCAAATAATTATATCATCGGCAATATCATGTAAAGTTTATTTAGTTACACATTGAGTTAATTTTTGGATGTTTTTTTTAAATTGTAATATTTTTTTTTATTTTTTTTTAGGAGGTTCATCATTACCCAGTGATGAAATAACATCAAGACACAACGTAACATCTTTTGATGTCATGTTAGGATGTCACACTCACTGCAAAGACGATGAAAAATGTGTTGGTTTCAACTACAGAACAACAAAAAATGTTGAAAATTGTCAACTAACAAACGTCACCAACAACAGAGAAAATTTAGAGAGAGGAGATTGGATATTGATGCGAAATGCTGAAGCGGTATGATAATGCATAATAAGTTGTTAATAATACGCAGTTATTATACGGCCGCCGCCCCGTCTGTCTAAAAGTCGACACAGACCGGACGCGAAGCGCAACGCGACGCGCGACGCGAATTTCAGTTCAATTTTCAGAAATATATATAAATTAAATTCTGGGGAAAAATTTGCAGTCTAAGGACGCCAGAGCAGTCATTATTGTTATGTCAGCTACATAAATATAATGATAGTGTAAAATTTATTTGATTTTAAAAAATTAAAAACGTTGAAAATTTGCGTTGCGCTGCCAATTCGCGTCCTGTCTGTGTCGGCCTTTAAGGCGGTTCTTCATTTAGGCAGATTTCCATTCAGTGCAAAATTTCACGCGATTTTTTTGCGATCGCTTTCTTTTGAAATGTGTTCATTCAAGCTCATCTAATTAGTTCCGCTTGACTGTTTGCATCTCAAAAGAAAGCGATTGCAAAAAGTCGATTGCGCGACATTTTTAACTGAGTGGAAAATCCGCCTTTACGTCGGTCCGCGCAGTAGTGATACCCCCCCTCTGGCTACGGATGGGGGTACCACCACTCCGCGCTTTATTTTTAGGCCCGTCACGGTCGCATCTGAGTTTTTCAAAGGTCACTTCACCCACGCGAGTGAAGCGAATGTAATAGTAAACAGCTTTAAGGGCGACACACGCTGAACGCGAAGAGCAATGCGACGCGAATTTTCAGTTTTCAGAAGCATATATAATTAATTAAATTCTGGAAGCAAATTTCGGAATATATGGACGCCAGACAGACAAGATGTATTTAAGTAATTTACAAAATTATTATGATAGGTTATAATTTATTTATTTAATTTGAATGAAGTTGATATCATAGAGAAACCGAATTCAATAATTATTTTATTATGTATTCAAATCAGGAGCAAATCGATGACCGACACCAGTACAACATACAAATTTTTTAATAAAAATACACTCAGTAAAAATTCATTTGCTATTCAATATCTAATCCTCAAAGAAAGATTTGCACCTTTGTTGACGTTTTTGAGTTCACTGTGTACTTCG